TTATACTGTATCTCTAGGCATTAACTTGAAATGACCTTGACCCTTGATACCTAAATTTAAACAGTCTTTAGAACAAAGTAGACTTTCTCATCTGCTTTAAGAGCAAATGAAACAAGTCCTAGGAAGGATACTGTCTGGGCCTTTGAACCAAGACTAAAAGAGATGAAATCCTGTTTGATATATATAAACATTAGAGAATTCATTTTGGTTTAATAAAAAGAGGAGTTTGTTTCATATCCTGTGAGAAAGTATCCCCCATTTCCTGAAAATGCTCTCATCCCAACAGAGGGTTCCCCCCTTCCAGGGTGGCGTAGGGAGCAAGTGGGTTGCCATGAATATAAAATATCAATCAAGATTGCTACTACACTCACTTCTCAAAATGCACTGTGGTGGAGAATTCATAGCATAGTGAAGAAATAAACCTTTGACTTCACCAAAATGTAAAGCCCCATTTAATGCCAAAGGTGAAGAATATAACAGCAATGGTAGAAATTATTTGTTATTTTGCAGTTCTCTACATCTTCATAACACATTACTTTAAAAACTTCAGAGAAGTGGCCTTTATATACTTTACCAATATTCCAGCACCTGAAACACCTTAGAAAGTTAAACCCTATGGTCACACATTTCAGAAACAATGAGATTCAATACTTTTCCTTTTTAGACTCTAAGATTTTCATTAGCTGAGGAATAATGAGGAATTTTACGTAGCTCTCCATAAGCAAATGAAATGTTCACCTTTCTAGGAACCTAAAAATAAAAGACAAAACTGATTCCTACAGAATATTGCTTTTAAAATCTTTTAGAATTGAATGTTACAATTGTTTATTTATACTGACGGAGGTCTGCCATTTAAGGGACATTGACTTCAAAGTCAAACCTCAAATAATATCATGGTTGACAGTATCTAATTTCATGTCTACCTGAGTCTTGAAGACTGAAAAGAACCATGACAAACACATCTATCCTTTCAGCTACTCCTTCATTGTTCATCACTATTTTTATGTGTAGAATGCATCGCTGCTGACCTTTGAGAAGATCTAGGGTAGATGTCTGAGGTTTCTGCCTGCCCAGCATCCCTTTTCTAATTTCCCTCTATTCTAGACCATGGGGAGCAAACACCAAATCCTTTCTCGGGAGAGCAGCTGGATCCAATCTTAGTCAACCAACCGTCCATTCACATTCAGGGAGAGGATGTGTCTCCTACAACCCTTGTAAGAACAGTAATGGGACTTTAGCTGCAAATAGTGACCAAAAAAAGTACCCTCTTTTTCTTGCTAGGTCTAATTTGGGAGTACCTTCTCAGGGGATATCATATGGAAACAATCTGTCTAACAGTGAAGCCAAAGCTGGAAAAGAGATCCTGGTAATCTTGACTGACAGGCCCAACCATGCCTTAAATGGCAAGACCTATCCTAGAGTTTTTGTATAAAGTAAACAAAATCCTTAAGCTAGTTTTGAATTGGTGTTGTCACTTGAAGCTAAAAGAATCCTGACTCCCAAAACAGGAGAAGCCTAAAAATAAACAAGACTAATTTTGAGGTTTCTAATGGGCTTTTCCCTCATACACGACTTCCTTTAATCCTTACAATTCAGTAAGACATCTATTAACATTTTAAATTAATATACATTATATTTTGAACACATACTATATGGAAAGGGGCGGGGAAAGCTAGGAGAGTGATGTATTTGAAACCTCACATGGGAGAAAAGTGGAGGTTCCTTATATCAAGGCTTAATAGATATTCATCAAGAGGGACACTGGAGCTGGGGTTGTGACTCTGTGGTAGAGCACTCGCCTAGCATGTGCAAGGTCCTGGGTTCCATCCTCAGCACCACATATAAATAGAGGTATTGTGTGCAATTACAACTAAAAAATAAATAAATTTTTTTAAAAAAGAATAGACACTAATCCCTGAATGACACCTTAGGAGGCTCGTGTAAGTAGCCAGTCTAGAGGTGGTATACCCCAAATGGGCAGCCTTATGAGAATGGCTCAAACAATAGAACACAGAGTCAGGCTAGATGTGAGGGTCCTTAGACTTTTCACATCTAGGTCAGTGCAGCCATTGTCACTGAGGTAGGGAAATAAGAGAGGCTGAGTTTGGGAGTCAGGGAGAGAGACAAAAGGAAGGATCTAATCATGTCTGTAGGATATGTAAACACAGAGATCTGGCAGGCCCTTAAAATGACAGGTCTGGACCAAAGAGAGGCTGCGATGGAAATACAAGATGGAGGATCACTGGCAGCTACATGGCATTTCAGGGCCTAGCAAAATCAGCTAGAGCTTCAATGAAGAGAAAACCAAGAGGCTGGTGACCACCTGCTTGTAGGTAATACCAGTCCTACCTGGGCGCTCCATGAAAATAGGCACTACCTCCCGACTCCTCAAATCTCTGGCTCTTGGACACAACCCCACAAGGAGGCACTCAGTAAACATCTGTGGAATGGTCGACAATGTCACTAGCTCCAGGGCACTGAGAGAATGAGACTGGTCCTACCTAGATGTTTTTCCAGGTACCTGCCACGGTTAGCGCTGCCAGTGTCGGCGGCTGCACTGGATGCAGTCTCAGTACTCAGCTCTCACCTCTTAAATTAGTTCCTGCTCTCACATTAGGCGTAATCACAGCTGGCAATGCTTTCTGGGGATGTCTCAAAAAGACAGAAGCTGGAAAAATATACTCTTGTTTTAATTTAAAGGTAAACGACTGCCTCTTTGTCCACCCCTTCCCTTTCTCCTGGCTCACCCAGTGACCCGGCCAGCCTCTGCCAGAGGTGGGGGTTGGAGATGGGGTTTCTCCTGGTAGGTCTTTAAACTATCAAATAAGTCTCAAAGAAACAAAGGAGATGGAGAAGAGGACAGGTGTGGCTGCTGGGGATTCTGAGGGCTTGTCACCAAGTGTAGAGACTATTCTAGGAGTAGGCAGACCCTGACAACCATAAGCCCCGGATGCGGAGGGTAGTTGCCATCAGCAGGGGCCCGGTGTCTCTCCAGATCCCAAGGTTGGCGCCAGCCCACCACTGGCCCACGTCTACGGCTTAGCTGAACACCGTCGCTTCAAGGCGACCCAGCAGAAGACCAGGGCTCCAAGAGCCCCTTAGTCAGCATCCCCGACTCGCCCTGGCTTGGGATCTGAAGCAGGCACCTTTGCTTTGGAATTGACAGATCCGCTGGCTCTCCAGCCTCCCTCGGTTTAAAAGCGCGCGTCCATCCTTTAGGTGTCCGCCATCCCACTCCCAAGCTGGGGCGCTCCCTTTCTCTTCCGATCTCCTTCACAGCTCCTCTCTCTCCGACAGTTAACAAACCCATTTTTTTACTTTCATGTTTAGGTATTTGGTTTTAAGTCTAAGAGAGGGGGGAGAGAATTCCTTTGAGGTCAAAATGACCCTTGAAAAATAGTCCAGAAATGATTTTGGTGTCAACGCTCAAGGCAATGAAGTGCAAAGTACACGTGGATAAAGCATGCAGAAAAGGTGCACAAAAATACGGATGCAAATATAAATTTTAAATGCAAAAGAGAAAAACTACTAAGTAAGCAGCCTGTGCGCGATGCCCCGTAGTTGCTACTCCCTTGCACACTGGATTGTAAGGGGCACCAAGCCTGGCCTCAAAGGCAGGCCTCATTCGCTTCTGCCCACCAACGCACCCTCAGCTCCCACCCCAGTGCTAGTTACTTCAAACGGGTTCAATAATTTATCCTGAATAAGCGACGAATGAATAAGTGAACGAACGGACGCTCGCTCCACCTGCCCTCCGGAGCCCGCAGAGCCAGCGCTTTGATGGGTGGGCGAGAGCGGGAGGCCAAGCTGCACCCCAGTGGCCAGGAGCTGGGGAAGGAACTACCAAGATCCTGAAACCCCAGCGCCCAGCCTGAACACCCAGGATAGTCTCTGGAGTCCGGAGAGAGCCTGCACCCCACTGCGCCACGTGCGCCTCCCCCTGAGACCACGGCGCAGACCCCGCCCCTGCCGCGCACGCACGCGCTCTGCAGCCAGGCCTCCAGGCCGGCCCCTAAACAGACTGGCCCCGCGCTCCGGCTGCCCCGCGCATCTGTGCCCACTGGGGGGCGCTCCCCTTCCACCCCGCGCACCCACAAGCGGGAGCCTCTTGGTCCTCCGCGATTCTGCTAGCGACCCTGGCGCGCGCC